CTTCCTTTTTTCCTACACGCATTCACAGCGTAGCCTCYATCTCCACATCCATTTTTWACATTTAGCAACAAAAGACCCATACAGGTTGCATATCCCTTATRCAAAAATCCAAAATTATCTATATGAGTGTCTGAGATGAGTGACACATTTGARYCTAGAAATKCAACTCAGTTTCACACACAAAATGWRGACAAGTATACAGCATTCCCTTCAGGCAATGTGAGCAAGGCACGCATGAAACATAAGCAGTATTTGTGTTTCGACTTGGGTCTCATCTCCAAAATGCCTCATTATGCATAGACAAATATTCCAAAATCTAGGTTGGGAGGGATGCCAAAATGGTTCTGGTTCCAAGCAGAGAAAGGATACTCAAGCGATACTACGAAATACGCACATACAGAGACAAACGGCAAGGCTGGGGAAGGGAAAGAAGGGGCCGCAAGAAATCACTGCCCACTCCTACGCAAGGCCCTCGGTCTACTGCAGAAGGAGCAATAGGCAAACCATTCTGTCTCCATGGCCGCTCTATAAATACCCCCTGGGCTCAGAGAGGCGTGCAAGACAGGACCCTTGCTTATATGGGGGGCTTTCCTGGGTTGTTGTTAGAAGGAGATTGAATACCAACACCAGCATCCCTTGGCATTTAAAAAACATAAAGAAATCCCTCACATGAGAGGCATGCAGGAATAGGATGCTTGCTTGTGTATCAAACTGCTTTAATTCTTCAATACAGATGCCACCTCGGAGGGATATTAGTTCGGAATTCAGTATGCACACTAACATTCCATTGGGGATAGAAGTGGAAACTGCATGGCAATTAGTTGCACGACCCATAGAACATTCAATGGACTAACAGACTAAAAAAACTGAAATTTTCAATAAATTATATTGAAATGTACAAGTGGAGTTCGGTTGGAGGGGATTAGAACACCAACAACAGCCCCAAACACAAGAGATTCATTGAAAAACCTAAAGGAAATCCCTGGCATCTCAAAGGGCTCAGGATCGCAATCTTGTGAGTTGCTTGTTTGTTTGGTTTTTGTGTGTTTGAAGGGGTTAGAAGATCAACACTAACGTCCCTCTCAGGAGCAAGGGGTTCAATTTTTAATAAAATAAATGACGAAATCTCTGATATGTATATAAAAGGGCTCAGAGACTTGCAGGATGGGATCCTTGTGGGTCCCTTGCTTGTTTTAAGGGGCTTGAACACCAACACTCCCAAATATAGGGATCCTTTTAAAAAGAAATCTCTGAATGACAAAAGTGCTTAGGACAGGACTCTTGAGTTCCTTTCACACAGCTGTATAACATCTATGTCAAACTGGATTATATGGAAGTGTGGACTCAGATACCCCAGTCCAAAGCAGGTATTGTGGGTTATCTGGCTTGATATTCTGGGTTATATGGCTGTATGGAAGGGCTCTGGGTTTGTTGCTGGAGAGGGGCGTGAAAGAGAGCCACTGAAAAAAAGAAAATAAAGACATCTCTGGCATAGAACGGTGCTCAGAGGAACTCAGAGGGTTTGTATATCTGTGGAATGTCCAGGGTGGGAGAAAGAACTCTTGTCTGCTTGAGGCAAGTGTGAATGTTGCAAATGGCCACCTTTATTAGTATTGAATGGCCTTGCAGCTTCAAAGCCTGGAATCCTTTGTTGGGAGGTGTTAGCTGGCCCTGATTGATTCTTGTCTGTAAGTAAATAAGTAAACTTTATTATGGTCAATGACCAGATCAGATTCTTGTCTAGAATTCCCCCGATTTTTGAGTGTTGCTCTTTATTTACTGTCCTGATTTTAGACTTTTTGTGTATTATTACTATTATGTTAGGAGCTCCCAGTGGCACAATGGTATTATGTCAGGAGTCCCCAGTGGCGCAATGGACACGTCAGCGGTTCGAATCCAGGAAGAGTGGGTGAGCTCTCTCTGTCAGCTCCAGCTCCTCATGCAGGGATATGAGAGAAGCCTCCCACAGAATGGTAAAAACATCAAACATCTGGGCCTCCCCTGGGCAACATACTTGCAGACAGCCAGTTCTCTCACACCAGAAGCGACTTGCAGTTTCTCAAGTCACTCCAGACACAAAAAATATAATTATGTTTATTATGGTTATGTTATATCCTGCTTTTTCTCTCCATACGGAGACCTGAAGCAGCTCACAACTAAAAGCATTGCAATACAACTTAAAATATACAATGTAGCGTGTTTTGGTTTTCTTTTTGGTGGGGGTTGATGGGTTTGAATACCAAGACTCCCCCAAACATAAAGCCATGCATTGATCCATTGATCACAATGAAAGAAATGTGGTGGTTGTTGCTGGAAACACACACACACCCAAACATAAAGGTACTGGAAACACTCCCCCAACATAAAGTCATGCATTAATCCATTGATCACAATAGAAGTCTGGTAGTTGTTGCTCGAAACACTTCCCCCCCCCCAAAAAAAAAACATAAAGTCATGCATTGCTTCATTAACTACAATAGAAGAAATCCGGTGGTTGTTGCTGGAAACACTACCCCCCCCCCCAAAAAAAAACATAAAGTCATGTATTGATTCATTAATTACAATAGAAGAAATCTGGTGGATGTTGAAACTCTCCTCTCCCCAAAGACCTCATAAAGTCTGCATTGATCCATTGATCACAACAGAAGTATGTTGGCTGTTGCTGGAAACACCCCCTCCCCCCCCAAAAAAAAAATCCAATAATAAAATATTATAAAAATAAACAATGCATTGATTCATTAATTACAATAGAAGAAATCTGGTGGAAACATTCACAGACACACACACACCCCAAAGAAACCCATAAAGCCATGCATCAATCCACTGATTACGACTACAACAACATTAACGACAATAGAAGAAATCTGGTGGGTGTTACTGAAACACTCCCCCCCCCCAATAAACATAAAGTCATGAATTGCTTCATTAACTACAATAGAAGAAATGTGGTGAGTTTTGAAACACTACCCCCCCCCCCAAAAAAAACCCATAAAGTCATGCATTAACCCATTGATCACACTGGAGGCTGTTCCTGGAAACACTCCCCCCCCCCCAAAAAATAAACATAAAGTCATGCATTGATCCATTGATCACAACAGTAGAAATCTCATTTTTGAATGGAAACCCTCCCCCCCCCCAAAAAAAAAACATAAAGTCATGCATTGCTTCATTAACTACAATAGAAGAAATCTGGTGGTTGCTGCTGGAAACATTCACACACACCCCCCAAAGAAACCCATAAAGTCATGCATTAATCCACTGATTACAACCACAATAATGACAATAGCAGAAATCTGATGGTTGTCGCAGGAACATACCCCCCCCCCCCCCAAAAAAAATAAAGTCATGCATTGATTCATTAACTACAATGGAAGAAATCTGGTGGATGTTGAAACTCCCCAAAACCTCATAAAGTCATGCATTGATCCATTGATCACAACAGAAGTGTGTTGGCTGTAGCTGGAAACATCCCCCCCTCCCAAATAAAGTAATACATTGATTAATTGATCACAATAGAAGAAATCTGGTGGTTGTTGCTGGAAACATTCCCCCCTCCTCAAAAAAAATAAACATAAAGTCATGCATTCATCTATTGATCACAACAGAAGTGTGGTGGCTGTTGCTGGAAACCCCCCCCCCCCCAAATAAAGATAAAGTCATGCATAGATTCATTAACTATAATAGAAAAAAATCTGGAAACACCCCCCCCCCCCCAAATAAACATAAAGCCATGCATTAATCCATTGATCACAACAGAAGTGTGGTGGCTGTCGGAAACACTCCCCCCAAAAAAATAAGCATAAAGTCATGCATTGATCCATTGATCACAACAGAAGTGTGGTGGCTGTTGGTAGAAACACCCCCCCCCCCAAATAAACATAAAGCCATGCATTGATCCATTGATCACAACAGAAGTGTGGTGGCTGTTGCTGGAAACACCCCCCCCCCCCAAATAAACATAAAGCCATGCATTAATCCATTGATCACAACAGAAGAAGTCTAGTGGGTGTTACTGGAAACACTCCCACACCCCCAAAAATAAAGTCATGTATTGATCCATTGATCACAACAGAAGTGTGGTGGCTGTTGCTGGAAACACTCCCGACCCCAAATAAACATAAAGCCATGAATTGATCCATTGATCACAACAGAAATCTGGTGGGTGTTACTGGAAACACTCCCCCCCACCCCCAATAAAGATAAAGATATGTATAGATTCATTAACTATAATAGAAGAAATCTGGTGGTTGTTGCTGGAAACACTCTCCCCTCCCCCAACAAATAAACATAAAGCCATACATTGATCTGTTGCTGGAAACCCCCCCCCCTTCCCAAAAAAAGAAATAAACATAAAGTCAAGCATAGATTCATTAACTATAACAGAAAAAGAATCTGGTGGGTGTTGCTAGAAACACCCCCCCCCCATAAACATAAAGCCATACATTAATCCATTGATCACAACAGAAGAAGTGTGGTGGCTATTGCTGGAAACACTCCCCCTCCCCAAATAAACATAAAGGCATGCATTGCTTCATTAACTATAATAGAAAAAATCTGGAAACACTCCCCCCCCCACCCCAAATAAACATAAAGCCATGCATTGATCCATTGATCATAACAGAAGTGTGGTGGCTGTTGCTGGAAACACCCCCCCCCCCAAAAAAAATAAAGTAATACATTGATCCATTGATCACAATAGAAGAAGTCTGGTGGGTGTTACTGGAACACCCCCCCCCCCCTTGCTTTCCCCAAAGAGAAGTCCTAAAAATGACTCCCACCATGGCGAGCCCCCCCATTCTCACCCCGAAGGAGCAACAGCCTCTCTCCATCTCCTTTCCCTCCCTCCCCCTTTTCCCCCTCACAGTCCACTCGCCCTCCCTGAACGTTCCACAGGCGGGGAAAGACCATTCCTGGGAAGAGGGGGGGGGAGAGAGAGTGGGTTCCAATAGTGAGGAGCAGCCATGGCCGGCTCTCCCTCTCTCCCTCTTTCTCTCTCTTACCTGCGGGCTGCTGCTGAGGCGAAGAAGGAGAGCCACCGCTTCGGGAGGCGGCGGCGGCGCTGGCGCTGGGCTCCAAGAGGAAGGCGACCCAAAAGGAGCCCAGGAAGAGGAGCCAGCGCCTCCTCGCCGCCATAGCGCGGGGTCCAAAGAGAGAGCTGCTCCTTCTTCTTCTTCTTGTTCTTCTTCTCTTCGAGGCTTCACATCGAGGAGAATTACCTCAGAGGAGCAACAAGCCTGGCAGGGGCGCGTGCACGCTGGGCTGGCTCGCTCACGAGAAAGAGAGAGAGAGAGAGAGGAGGGTTCGAGAGCGCGCGCACGGCTCCGCCCCCTTTTCCTCCCTCTCTCTCTCTCTCACGCGACCGACCGCCTCAAATCTCAATTCGGCTCTCGCTCGGCCTCCCCCCCCCTCTCTCGCTCTCTCTTTCACGCATGCGCAAAAAATGGGAGGGGAGGGGTTGAGCGCGCGAAAGGCTCCGCCCCCTCTCCTCTCTCAGGTGACCAAATCCCATTCCCACTTCTTATTTATTTTCTAGCCATCCCCTGCCATGTGTTGCTGTGGCCCAGTCTGTTGATCTGGAAAATAAAGTAATGAGAAAGGGTTGGTTTCTAATATATGTAATTTCTTTATGCTTGTGGGTAAACAGTATTCTTAGAATCATAGAATCAAAGAGTTGGAAGAGACCTCATGGGCCACCCAGTCCAACCCCATTCTGCCAAGAAGCAGGAATATTGCATTCAAATCACCCCTGACAGATGGCCATCCAGCCTCTGTCTTCTTGCTGTTTCTTTGTCAGTGTTGATGTAGATCTACAAAAAATAAAGTAATGAGAAAGTGTTGGTTTCTAATCTATGTAATTTCTTTCTGCTTGTGGGTAAACAGTACTTCTTAGAATCATAGAATCAAAGAGTTGGAAGAGACCTCATGGGCCACCCAGTCCAACCCCATTCTGCCAAGAAGCAGGAATATTGCATTCAAATCACCCCTGACAGATGGCCATCCAGCCCTGCCATGCGTTGCTGTGGCCCAGTCTGGTGATCTGAAAAATAAGGTAATGAGAAAGTGTTGGTTTCTAATCTATGTAATTTCTTTCTGCTTGTGGGTAAACAGTACTTTAGAATCATAGAATCAAAGAGTTGGAAGAGACCTCATGGGCCATCCAGTCCAACCCCATTCTACCAAGAAGCAGGAATATTGCATTCAAATCACCCCTGACAGATGGCCATCCAGCCTCTGTCTTCTTGCTGTTTCTTTGTCAGTGTTGATGTAGATCTACAAAAAATAAAGTAATGAGAAAGTGTTGGTTTCTAATCTATGTAATTTCTTTCTGCTTGTGGGTAAACAGTACTTCTTAGAATCATAGAATCAAAGAGTTGGAAGAGACCTCATGGGCCACCCAGTCCAACCCCATTCTGCCAAGAAGCAGGAATATTGCATTCAAATCACCCCTGACAGATGGCCATCCAGCCTCTGTCTTCTTGCTGTTTCTTTGTCAGTGTTGATGTAGAGCAGAGGTCCTCAAACTTTTTGAACAAAGGTCCGGGTCACATTCCCGCAAACTGTTGGAAGGCCGGATTATAATTTGAAAAAAACATGAATTCCTATGCACACTGCACATATCATATTTGTAGTGCACTTAAAAACAATACAATAATTAAAATTAAGAACAATTTAAACAAATATAATCTTAGGTTCTTGTAGGTTTTTTCAGGCTATAGGGCCATGTTCTAGAGGCATTTTCTCCTGACGTTTCGCCTGCATCTATGGCAAGCATCCTCAGAGGTAGTGAGGTCTGTTGGAAGTAGGAAAATGGGTTTATATATCTGTGGAATGAGCAGGGTGGGACAAAGGGCTCTTGTCTGCTGGAGCTAGGTGTGAATGTTTCAACTGACCACCTTGATTAGCATATAATGGCCTGACAGTGCCTGGGGGGAATCTTTTATTGATGTGTTATATACCGACTGTTTTAACTGTGATAATTGTTTTAACTATGGTTTTGTACGTATGTGTATTCTGTGTAGGCATCGAATTGTGCCTTTTTGTAAACCGCCCTGAGTCCCCCCTCGGGGGTTGAGAAGGGGAGGGTAGAAGTACTCGTAATAAATAAATAAATAAATAAATTTTGTTGAGAGTGATTTGATGTGCCTGATTGTTTCCTCTCTGTTGTTTTCCTGCTGTAAGTTTTGAGTTTTTAAATACTGGTAGCCAGATTTTGTTCATTTTCATAGTTTCTCCTTTCTGTTGAAATTGTCCACATGCTTGTGGATTTCAATGGCTTCTCTGTGTAGTCTGACATAGTGGTTGTGAGA